GACTAGAAGACTGACCAGAGACCGATCCTTGTTGACCATAGCCAAATGAGTGTCCTGAACCAGAGCCATGCTGGCTGTGGCTTGAAGACTGCCCTGAACCAGACCCATATGGACCATAGCTAGAACACTGACCTGAGCTCGATCCTTGCTGGCCCCAGCTTGATGACTGGCCTGAGCCCGATCCATGTGTTTCTTTTTTCCAACCCCCTGAGTGACTGATTGAACTGGATCCTCGTGTTCTTTGACTAGAGGATTGTCCTGAATTTGACCCATGCGTTCTATAACTGGAGGATTCACTTGAACTAGAATGATATCCTTGTTCTTCACAGTTTTGTGATTGTGATCCAGAATTTGACTTCGGCCATTCCTTTTGACTAGGCTGACTTGGGCAAAATCTGTGTTGCCCACAGCCAGTAGACTCATTTGAGTCTGACCAATGGTCTTGTCCTCCACAACTACCTGAACTAAACTTATGCTGCCCACAGCCAGTAGACTCATTTGAATCTGACCAATGATATTGCTCTCTACAGCTCCCTGAGCCGAATCCACTGCCCTTGGAGCTTGACTCTATCTTTTCCCAAGGGCTTTGCCTGTGTTCAAAATTAGAGAAGTCATCTTGATTCTCAACTCTTCTGGAGCTGGACCCAGCCTTGTGTCTAATACTTCTGCTAGAGCCTTTGGAATTCCAACTCGAACGACTGGATGATGATTCTTCACCGTTCCCCTCCTCTTCTGTTTCTCTCTGTTCCTCTTGGTGCTGGTAACCATGGTTTCTCTGATTTGACCCTGAAGCTTGGCAATAATCTTTGCCAATGATTTTATTACAAGCCTGAGCCAGCTTGAATATCATCACAAGAAACTCTGTAAAATCCACTTTCCTATTATGGTCTCGATCCAGGCTTTGCATGATGACATCTACAGTGTCTGGATCATCTGGATTCTGTACAGGAAAAAGGTACAAAGGGCAGCTCTGTCAGTATGGCTGACATAGTTGGCTAACTAATGAAATGAAGGCTCTAGAAATATAAATGCTTGGTTTACTTAGATGGAGCTAAACCACACACTCTTTTAGGACTGCACTGCATTATCCTAATCAGAAAGATAATATGTACTGAACACAAAGCAATGTGTAATTAATAATGCACCAAGAAGGAGATATAACTAGAACATCTGAAAAAAAGTGGACTGCTTTTTTTGATATGACATGGGTCAAATGGAAATGATTTTCTAGTTATAAATAATAATTTGCCTCATTAATTACACATGACTTTTCTGTACTGGTCCAGTTTTCACAATTCTTCCACTTATTCATTCATTTACGTATTCAACAAAGATTTATGGTATACTCACTAGCTGCCTAGCATTGTGCTAGGTACAGTGGATAAAGCAATGAACAGTCTAAACTTGCTTCTTGCTAAAAAGGAACTTAAAATTTAGTGGATCAGGTACATAAGCTTAACATTGAAACTTACTGTGATAAAGTTTCTGTCACTTCAGAGAGGATGCACCACCATTAGAGGGCATTCAAGGAAGACTTAAGAGAGGAAGTGACCATTTTTGAAGGATACATTAGTATTTAGGCAAATGAAGGGATAGGAAGGGAGGGAGAGGGGGCACAAGATTGTTCCAAGTAGAGGGAATGAGATGAACAAAGGTGTAGAGGAAAGAGAAGGTATCTCTCTTTCAGTGTCTCTTAAGAGGTCCAAATCATGCCTTATGCCATTATAAGGGTTTTTGGATTTTATCAAATGGGCAGTTGGGAGTGATTGAAAGATTTTGAGCTGGAAGTGATGCTGAGATTAGAAGCAGAAGGATACCTGAAGGAGAGGACTACCAATAGTTATGGAAAGAAATAGGCTATTTCTCAACTAGACTGTTGGTGTGTTAAGTGGAGATTGGAGCGTAGTGCTGCTTGCTAACAAGCAAGAAATCAAGAATGACACTAGTTTTCTGCTTCAGGCAACAGAAGAGGGGCAAATTTAGAGAAGAAGACAATAAACTTCACATCTGTCACACTGAATTTATGGCATCTACAGGAATTGGAATAAAAATACTCTGTATGAAATTGGAATTAAGAAACTTGAGCTCAAGAGCTATATCTAAGCTCTCAAATATATCTATAACTGGCTTTTTAAGCTAGTGGTGACTGTATTTTGTGATTTATAGTCACAATGCTAATTTCCTGAATTCAGAAGCCTTACAGCACCCAAATCTCAGACATGAACAGTGGACACGATGACCCAAAGGAAGACAAAAAGGAGGAAGGAGCCCCCTGTCCTATAGGGTTGCTATGAGTTGGAATTGACTGATAGGGGTGAGTTTACTCTGGTTTATCTCTATCATCAGGCAAGGACAGTCCTTTAGGAAGTTTGACATACCCTACAAAGGGACAGGATGAGATGAAAGGGAATTTCTATAGTCTTTAGACAAGGCATGGAGTTTTTACCTTCAGAATTTGACGAAACTCATTTTCCAAAAGTTCTTTTAGCTCTGCTTTGTTCAACATGCTACACTCTTCTTCTTGGGTAGCATATTGATAGTAAGTCTCGATGGTAGAGACAATGCTTTGTAGCAGTTTAGACATCTTTTTGCAAATTTAAGTTAACCTGAAAGGGAGGGGAAAAACAAGACACCTCTTATTATTATTAATTTCTTACATCTACAAAAAGATATAATTATTTGTAAGAATTAATCATGCATGACTGATTCCATCCTTTTGTAATCAAGAAGCAACCCAGAGTTGAATAACTTGTTCAAGTCACGCAGTAAGAGCGTGGTGAAACTAGGAATAAAATTAATGTCACTTGTTCCCATTCCTGAATGAATGCAGGACCTGTCCATTTCAACTTGGAACTCCCTGTGTGTGCCAGCGATAATGTTTTGAGCTCTGTTTTGAAGCTATTGGGATCCTGATTGTGCCATGTCACACTTTCTTATTTCCTTTCCAGATCACACCCATTACACCCTGGGTTAGGCATGGGTGGTGGAGAGGTCGGGATATGGGCCCAAGATCTACGTGGCAGGCCTGACTCCAACTAAATTGAACCCTCAAGACTTCTAGGCCAGAGAAACTGGACAAAGTAGGCAAAGTCATCCACAGGCCTAGTGGGGACAGCCACTATCAGATTGGGATTCTGTTCTCATTCTGCGGAACTAACATTTAGGGGTTGATAGTTACCTAAGAGACAGAAGAGACAAAGCTCAATAATGTGGAAGCAACTAGTGGGTAATTGAGTCCTCATGATCTTTAAGGAGATAACCCCAAAGAAAGGAGGTATTATAAATAATCCTAGTTGTTTCCTCATTTCCCTTCTCAATAAAATTAAACTTAGACCAAAGTTTCCTAAATCTATATTGTAAAGAAGCTTGCTATTCAGAAATTCTTTGCCTAATAGCCCATCCCTTAATTTTCCAATTGAAATTCTAAGTACCCATCAGTGGAGCTGGAATCCTGGTTACTTACCTGCTTCACCAGAGGAACAAGTTGGATGGAGACCTCAGCAGCTTGCAGGGTGCTGATAGTTGGGAAGTGTTGCTTTTTATAGAGGGGATTGCGGTCTAAGGGAGGAGCTGTTCTCTTTGTAATGTCCTGATTCACTTCTAAACAAGCCCAGCTCCACCTCTAGCTCCACCTCCCTGTGTTTACCTTCTTGCTCCTTTACTCGTTCACCTGAGATTGCATTACCAATTCCTGAATCTGGGCTAGTATCAACTCCACCTGCCAGTCTCAGGGCACTTTGCAGAAAAGCCTTTCAGCATATTTACCAGCGTATCTAGCACAATGCATTGACAACAAATTTGGAACTTTCATGAAAGTTGAAGAGCTTGTGCGTAGGGACTTCAGGACCCAGTCATCAAAGAATCCTGGTAGTTGAAGTTTAGAAGGACTCTTAAAGAGCATCTGGTCAAATGTTCCCATTCTAAACTAGATTTTTACGGAGAGGATTCTAGGTAAGCCATTCATGCTATTCTTCCTACTAGGAATGGATCATAAATGGCTACAGAATCCTTCTTCTCCCTCATTTTACCTGCCTCAGTTTACCAAACATTAGTGGCCATTTGTCAATGTTGCTTTCAGTCCAACCGCTATATGATCTTAGGATGAAATTCATGATCTTTATTATTATTTTTTCATGAGTGTTCCTCATGAATGGCTTTTGTTCTGCCCATTTCCTCTCTTCTGATACCCCTTTATGGTTTACTCATAATTAACTACTTAAACATTCATGAGCATATTATTGCTATTTCAATCTTTATTTGGAATATCTTACCTTATGATTTGCCTAGTGAACTTCTATTTATTCTTCAAAACTCAGTTCACACCTCCCATAGAAAATGACTTGAATTACTGGAGCTGTAATTGTGGATTGCATTACTAATTTCATTGCTATATCAATCAGGCAATATTATGATATTGATTCAATGGAAGTGAATTTGTTTTCTTTAATATTAAAAGTAAGAAGATATAGATTAGCAAAAAAAGAAAATGGAAACACCTATAATCCCACTATCTAGAATTAACCACATTAATTATTTGGTGTATATTTTATTCATGCACACACATACATCTATGTGTCTGTCTGTCTGTCTATCTATCTATCTATCTAATCTATCTATCTACCTCTGCATCCTTTCTAGACTATGTGTATCTATAAATAGGGATTGGGAATGCTACTTGGAGATCTAACATCCTGTGTGACTCATAAAGGGGTACAAAATAAATACTTGTCGGTTTGAATTGATTATATAGAGGCGTGAGACTCACGACTATAGTGAACAACTTCTGTTTTTTCACAGTAGGGCTACCTTTTAACTATTGTGAATGTATAACAAATTTATTAAAGGTGTTTCAAGTTATATAGACTCAAAACTTGTGTAATGTGGTCATCAAGATTTGACAGGAGTGGTCGCAACTATTGACACATGAGAAATTACATGATTCCAGAGACAATTATCATTAGGCTACATGTTTCTTTTAAGAACTATCCAAAGGGCTTGTGAGTCAGCGTTTGTCCTTTGGTCAGGTCTCCGCTGGACGCCTGATTTGGGCCAGGCCATCGTGCTCCATCAAGGAAATGACCTTTATAAAGCTGTGACAGAGTGTGGGAGTGAAGGGGAGGTGGAATTTGCTGAGTGAGGACTGTTTTCTGGCAGGAGCTGGCTGTTGCCACAGAGGTGGGGGGAGGGGGCAAGGGTGAGGGCTAGGGATGAAGATTATTCCAGGTGAACGTGCTTTGGGGGGAGGTCGGGTCAAAGTTCTCCTAAATTGCTGTTTTTATGCATTGGCTGAGTCTGTTCCAACTCATAACCACCCTGTATGGTGCAGCGGAAATGTTCCCTAGGGTCTCCTATGCTGTAATCTTTATAGGAAAGAGTCTGGGTGATGCTGTTGCCTAAGGGTTGGGCCGTTAAGACAACTTCCGCTGTGTAAACCTGCCAACTTCTCTGCGGAAGACAGACAAGCCTCCCTGCTCCCACAAAAACCTATAACCTCGGAACCCCTATATAGGTTGCTGTTAGAGTTGCACGATGACAGTGGGTTTTGTTTGGTTTTAAATCTTAACAGGAGCAGATCCCCAGGCCTGTTCCCCAGTGGAGACACCAGTAGGTCCACGCGCCAGGCTTTCCGACGAGCAGGAAAGTGCTGACCCATGGCACCACCTGGGCTCTCTCCTCAACTAAAAGCCAAATCAACCCCACTGGCATCGAGTCTATTCGGACTTGTGACGACCCTATCGCACATAGGAGAACCGCTCCCGAGGGCTTCGGAGACTCTGGATCTTCACGGAGCAACAGACTCAACTTTCTCCCACGGTTTCTAAACGAGGGATGAAGTTTCTCTGTAAAGGAGCCAGCTAGTGAATATTTTAGTCTCTGTGGGCCCTTTAGTCTCTGCTGCTACTATCAAAGTCTGCCATAGCATGCAACCACCCCAGACAGGCACAGCACAGCTGTGTTCTGTGCAAACTCGAGGGGTCGACTCTGACTTCTGAATGGCATGTGTCGTCATGTTATCCACTACCAGTGTAAAAATCATTCTTAGCTGTGGGTTGTGCAAAAGTCGATGAGCTGAATTTGGCCTGGGGGTCTTGTGTGCTACCCTCTGTCCTAAATGAAACACTAGTAGAGTTATACAAGTTATACAGGCTGAGGAAACGTCTGCCTCTTCTGCATTGGCAGTCAGAACTATTCTCTAGGACAGGACAGTCTCAGAGGGAAGAGAGGGCCTGGAACATGTAAGGCATCAGGACCACTCACTAAAGTATGCATGTCTGCTTATGAATGCCGGTAAGTATAAGGGCTCACCTGAAAGTACAGTGGGCTCGCTATGAAATAGCTGGCTTTATCGTCAGGGATATTATAGGCACTTTCATGAATCAGCCTTTACCATCTATTTTCATTTTTCCTTGCCACCTCTCCCCCCTTTTCCTTTTCTTTTAGGTCTCATTTTCTGAGTGGTCTCACTAATCTGAACGTTGCTTCAGTGTTATTTCCTGGTTTGTGCCATCAGAGCAAGAGGCATATGCAACATACGTTGTGGCCTCTTCTCTCTAGTGAGAATTACTAAGATACTAGTAGGGTTGGATTAGGTCCTTTCCAGAACAGAGATTCATGATTGTATGAGCATGTGTCTTCTGCAGTAACAGGATTGAGCATGAAGACCCTCTACTTCATAAGTGAGGTTAATGATTTACTGCTTGGGGATGACAGCTCTCTGGAGAAGAGATTCTTAGAGCCTGCACTTCGTTCTATAACGAGCCACACTTACCCAGGGGATTTTTACTCCTATTAATAGCTACAATATCAGAACCCCCAGGGGCAGTTCTACTCTGATCTACACGGTGGTTATGAGTCGGGTTCGACTCGAAGGCAGAGTGAGCGAGCGAGTGTGCGCTGTGTTCTAGGTTTTCTGAGTGTCTCTCTACACGTGTTGGCAGAAGATAGGAAATCACATTTCCCATTATGTTGTGTTCTGTGAAGTAGGAATCATTGTTTTCTTTTTGCCAATGATAAAATAGAAACTCAGAGAAACCAACTCACCTAGCTACCTAAGTGGAGAAGTTAAGATTCAAACTCAAATATTCTTCTTCCTGGGAATAGTCAGGGAGTGAGCCTGTGGACTGACCATGTCTTGCAAAAGGCTGTTTCTGAGAAATAGTTCTTGAAGAATGGACTGTGTGACCTTAAGAAAAGAAACCAAGCCAAGCCAAGCCAAGCCAAGCCAACCAAACCAAAGCACAAAAGAGTGAGGAAGACAAACAGCTCTCATCCCACCCCTGCACACGCCACTCTGCAACTCTCTGGAAGGCAGCGTGATGTGGTTGTAGCACCATCTGCTGGTCTTGGGGAGAGTCGACAGAAAGTCTTGTTCTCCTTGCCCTTTCGTTCCTCTTGGCTCTCCTCTTCCAGGCAACTTCTGACAATTCTTTATAGACGTTGTCTCTATGAGGGAGGAGGTTATGCAAACATGGGGACTTAGCAAGCAGAGAATATTGATGGTAATTATTTTTGTGTAAAAGGAGTCAAGATGAATGAACTATGATGTAAAACCAGTCAATAACTAGTCTGTATCCTCTTCCTCAGGTG